ATTGGTGACTGTTCACCAGAAAAGAAGAGGAAAGGATTGAAGACTGTAGGTACTGACAGACATTTTAAGAAGTTCTAAGGCAAACAGAAAATTGGGGCAGTGGCTGGAGGCTGATACAAGGTCGAGAGTATGGGTTTTTAAAAGATGATACACATAAAATATTGCAAATAATCCAGTAGAGGGAGAAACAATGATGCAAAAGAAAAGGGAGTGAACTGATGTCCTTAGGCAGGCAAAAGGAGGCACAGAGTGTTCTCAGGCAGGAACATGCTACCGAACAAGAAGCCTTAAAGACTCCTTTCCATTACTTGGTGCCCATTCTTCCCTAGGGTTAACTAAGCTGTGTTCTGCTCAGGCGACAGACAGGGAGAGCACTTTTACTTGAGTAGCTGTAAAATTGCATTTTGTTATTAACAATTTAATGATGGTACAGAAATAATCACTCATTCAGCAATTATCAATTGGCCTATCGTGTGCCAGTTCTAGGTGTTAGCAAAACAGCAGTGAGCAAAATAATCATACCTAAAACATTCTTACGAAGCACATTATTGAGAGATTTACATGCACTTATTTATAACAAAAGTGTGGGGGTTTTGTTTTTGCATTTTTGAGACAGTCTTACTATCTAGCCCAGACTGGCCTGGAACTCACTATGTAGCCAGGCAGGCTTCAAACTACAGTCCTTCTGCCTCCCAACAAAAATGTGTTTCAAGTTCCTTTGAACTGTCCCTTTATGCTTTGTAAGGCCCTTACTTCCCTAAGATTGAGAGGTTTTGTTATCAAGGTGTGATTTCTCCCCAAGATTCCTTTGGTGTATTTCGGGCAGTTTTTCCATTATGTTCTTTGCTAGGTTTTACCCCAAAAGCCTTTTCAGATATGTTTAAGTGACCTTGGAATTTGGTTACCTTTAGCTATATTGATAGGGTATCCTAACTGCCTTTTAAGAACTGCTCTAATCAAGTGTGGTGGTGCATGCTTGTGATTCCAACACTTGAGGATCTAGTCTACCAAAAACAACAACAAAAAACCTACTCTTAATTTCCTCTGTTAGTCTTTTTAACATTACTTAAATGTAGCTACATTCTCTCACAAAAGCAACCTGAGAGCATTAAACTATTCAGTTTCCCTTCCTTCAGTTTATACCACAAAATGAGCTCTTTCTGTGGAAAAGGAGGATAGAATTGCTAAGACTTCTTTTTGCTAAATGGAGACACCTGAGTTTTCCACTTTTCAGTAAAGAACACATTCCAGCATGTTGAGCCTTCAAAGGTCAACTGCCACTTTGAAAGCATTTATTTGCTTCAGTCTTTTCTGTGGCCTTCTTTACAATGGCTGCTTCTCTGATTTCCTGACAGTATACTTATTTCATGGGAATCATTCCTTTTAGGGGAGTACAGAGCCTCTTTTAAACTCTTCCTCATTCATGTCAGACTCTGTTAGCTAGATTTCCCACTCATTTAAGTTTTTGTTGTTGTTGTTGTTTTAGGGGTTTTTTTGGTGGTACTGGGGTTTGAACTCAGGGTCTCACTCTTGCTAGGTAGGAGCTCTACCACTTGACCACAGACCTTTTTTTTGTGTTGGATATTTTTGAGACAGGATCTTGAGAACTATTTGCCAGGGCAGGCTTTGATCCTCCTGATCTCTGCCTCTTGAGCAGCTAGGATTACAGCTGCTCAAGAAATATTCCATGTGCCACCAGCGCCTGGTTTAAGATTTTATTTAGCATGGGGTGGGGGATGGGGAGTGGGAGTGGTGGCAAAACAATGTATACACATGTAAGTAGATGTAAAAATGATAAAATAATAATAATAATAATAATAATACGATTTTACTTAGCTGAGTGCAGTGTTAGGCACTTGTAGTCCCAGCTACTCGGGAGGCTGAGGCAAGAGGATCATTTAATCCCAGGAGTTTGAGAGTAGCTAGGCAACATAGCAAAAATCATCCCAAAAAATATTTTTGATTTTGATTTCCCATAGCTTGCTAAACTTAATTTTAGAATACATATGTTTTCAAGATATACTTGGTGTATGTATGTGTGTGTGAGACAGAGAGAGAGAGGGGGAGAGAGAGGTTTTGTAACATCTATATTAGCCTTACTTTCTTCAGAGCTTACCTTTTTTTTTTTTTTTGGTGGTAGTGGGGTGTGCTTGCTAGGAGATGCTCTACCACATGAGCCCTCCACCAGCCCCCAAGCTTAAAGATGTTTCAGATGACTAATACTTGTTCTTAACATAGTTTCAAGTATTGTTTATTGTTTGCATATTGCATTTATAAAGAAGTATTTCATGCTTAGAGTTTCAACTGTATCTATAGCCTTCCTTTCTTTAGCTCCTATATTTGTATATTACAGAAGAACTCTATCATAGCTTATTCTTTATTAGAAATCTGGCTTATTCTATAACACAGTTATATTAAAATAGTAACATGTTTCCCTTACAGCCAATAAAGTTGACTACAAGTGGTCTTTGCCTTAGGCTGATTCAATTTCAGATTCTGAATTTTGATCTTTTTGACCTGTTTGATTTTGATCTTGGCAGAGTGGCCATAAGCTCCAGCCCCAGTCAGTCACCCAGTTACAAGGGTTGAATAACCAGTACACCGTGCTGCTAACCACTGATGTTCACTGGGTTAGGTATATCAAATGCATTTTCAACTTGTTTAATGGGCTTAGTGAGGATGTAACTCCATCCTGAACAGAGGAGTGTCTGTATTTACTCCTTCCACTGCAGGCTTCCTACTGTTTGGGTTGGGGAGTGTGGGGGCCAAGATATAGAACTGGAGAGAACCATGCATGTGTCTACATGTATGAAAAAGTTCATGTTTGTGTCAATTAAATGTATTTTGTGATTAAAATGCTTTTCAAACCCAGGATCCAAACAGTAAACAGGACGGATAATGTTGACAAGACAAACATTAGCACATTAACACAATGATAGTGACTAGACCTAAAAAAAAAAAACAAGATTTGTACCATCACAGCAGATGAAAATTCTCAAAATATTCCATGTACACATTTTGCCCAGAAGTAGGTATAAACAGATTAAGATAAATCCATTGTTGAGAGAATTTAAATACCTTTTAGGAAAACCGTGTAATGGACTTTAACATGAATGACGAATTTCAAGTATATTTTAGATGAAGTTTTCAGTTTCTCTAAAACAACAACTTTGAGCCTGGTATTTTGGCACAGGCTTGCAATCCCAACACTAGGGAGGTTGAGACAAGAGGATTGTGAGTTCAAGACCAGCCTGGGCTACACAGTGAAAAGCTGTCACAAAGAAAACCCCAAAAACTAAACCAAAACAAAAACTTTGCAGAAAACAAGCCTATTGTCATAAAATCAGAAATAATCCTTGAAAATAAGGACATTGAAAGAACTTATATAACTTCCATAGGCAAATTATTCAGCTCCTCTGAGCTTCAGTTTACTGTTATATAATGACATAGTGGATACACAGAAAGCACTCAACACATGCTAGTCCTTTTGTGAATTTGTCTCCTCTTTGGGAAGTTAGGCAACAGTGCTACCGCCTGTGTCTTCCTTACGGTCAACAACAAGAACATATTCCAAATCTCTGGAGAGTTCCTTGGTATTTGGAGCTACTCCAGGATGTGGACGAAGCGATGAAGAAACCATTTGGACTGCCCTGCAGACAACTCTGGCTAAACCAAGAGGGCGCCACCTTGAAAGAAGAAGTGCTTCTGGTGACAGCGACTTTGAAACATTGGTTTTCTCATTTTTGTGTAGTGGCAAACGAGCCGAGATTTATGCAACGCAATGACTCAGCCAGTGATACACCCGGTGTCAATCTCACTCCGGGGAAGCCTCCCGGGGCTGGGCGTTCATTAGCAGTAGCTTCAACTACATTCCAGAGTGGGAGAGGGCGCGCCACACTTGCGGAAGGCTGTAGCACAACTTTGAAGCAGGAACACAAAAACACACCAAGCCCACTGTTTTGGGGGGATGAGGTCAGCGCTTGCGCTTTGTCGTCTGCTTATTGGTGTGAGTTTCATATTGGTGAAGGAAAGGCAGCCACCTCAGAGGCCAGGCTAGAGGTTTCAGTCGGTTGGCATCTCTTTGGGGACCTTTTCCTTCCTCTTGAATACCTCCTACGACATAACCCAACTATGCCACTTTCTTTTTCTAAATGCCTTCTCAAGGCCACGGCCTGGATTTCACTTTTGGGAAAGTGATTGCTAGCAAAGGGCGCTTGCGCCACTAGGCAGAGGTTCCCCTCACCAAACAGCAACCGAAGGAAATGGTGAGGACATTAAGAGCCGCACTGCACGGCGGCAGTAAACACCTCACAGGCCGACGTCCGAACGCGCCAGCCTCCTCCTGGAGAAAGCAGGCGGGAGCTGTCACCGCAGGCCCAGCGCCGGGCGCAGCCAACCCCAGGGCTGCTTGCACCGAGCATTCCCCAGAGCCACGAATCTCCCACCTCGAGTTCGGGGCCACAGCCCGCGGGGAAACTTTCGCCACATAAACAAGTTGGGTTCGAGATGTCCAATGCCTGGGCAGGACGGCGAAACTCCCCCTGGCAGTGCTGGGAGTTTCCCGGGCTGCGTTGAGCGCCAGGAGCAGAGAGGATGTTCCTCTCGCCACGGATACCGGGAAGCAGGGCCTGACCCCTGGCCGATGATCGCACCCCGCAAGTCGCCTCCGCCGCCTCCCTCTTCTATTCCGCGGCAAGTTCAAGGCAAGGCCTGGCCTGTCTGCGTCCCTGACTGCGCAGGCTCCGTCCCCCACCCGGCGCTTGCGGGGTGGAGTGACCTGCAGGCGCGGTACCCTGGCATCTGTCCTCTCAGGGTCTGGGGTCCCCGGGCTCTGAGTTACCCAGTAGCGCGGGACCCCCCGGCCGCCCAACCGCACATTGTCACCGCGCACCCCGGCCCGGCGCGCCCCGCCCCAGCGCGGTCCCTCGGGCGCCTGATTCGGGGCTTGCCTGGTCCCCCGACCCGCGCCCCGCCGCCGGCCCCTGGGAGGTGCCCAGTACCGATGCCCTGGATGAAGACGAAGCCGGTCACCGCGAGCACCGGGTGCCAGTTAAACTCGAGTGCGCCCCCGTTCCAGCCGAGCCCCTCGCGGTAGTGGAGGACCCAGATGAGGGTGAAGAGCACTGACAGGAAGCCGACGAGCAGCGCCGACACCAGCAGCCCCAAGAAGCCCCGGTAGCCGTCCATGGCCATCAGAGCCCCATACTCCGCGCAGCTACAGCCCGAGAGTCGGCAGCAGCCTGGGGTACTGGCTGGGCGGCGGGGCCCGGGCGGTGACTTCTTGGCGCTATCTCCGCCCTTGGGGAGGGGCCTTCTCGACTGCCCGCTGGGCTGTGGGGCCTCCCGGGGATGCGGGGTGGGGGTGGGGGTGGGGGGCAGCTGGCTCCAGCTGTGAAACCCGCCCCACCCTGGGATCACGCGGCCAGAGGGCGCTAGCTACCCGGTGGCCGCTCGCTGGTCCAGCGTCACAGCTCCTAGACGATTGAGTAACCCGATTCAGTCAGTGGTTCCGAGAGCTTTGCAGGAGTGCCTACCACTGTCTTTAACTCTTCCCGCGTCTCTTCTTTGCGCGAAGGGCAGTGGCGCACACGCTTGGTTCTTAGAAGAGAGCGGTCTGTTGGATGGGTTTCGATTAATGAAGCCTCCTAAACTCCAGTTCTAGAGGATTTGCTCTGATGCCAAGGAAGGGTCAACGAGAACTGGGGTGGTTTGGGCAGCGGTGGACTTGGCCTTCCCTAGTGATGAAACCACCTGCAGCTTGCTGTTGAGAGAAGACAGGCAACTCCTGCACCCTGGACTTTGCCTATAAAGTGTGATAAAATGGGTCTTGAAAGTGTTCACCTGTCGCTGGGCACCGATGGGTCAGGCCTGTAATCCTTAGGTACTTGAGAAGCTGAGATTGGGAGGATTGCCGATGGAGGCCAGTCCGGGTAAAGAGTTTGCGAGACCCCATCTCCAAAATAACCAGAGCAAAATGGACCGGAGGTGTGGCTTAAGCGATAAAGTGATTGCTTGCCAAGCGTGAAGCCCCTGAGTTCAAACCTCAGTCCCCTCCGACCCCCAAAAAGTGTCAACCTGCCCAAACCAATATGAATCCAAATTTGCCTTGATGAAATCACCTTGATGAAGTGAAGCAAGCTCCCTTTCCTTCCGTTATCCTCACCCTTCTCCAAGGGGCAAGAACATTGTTACATGTTGCTATCAGAGAAAGTGTTCTGTTTGCCGGCGCGTCTAGGATGCATTTGGAAATGTTCACTTCCAGCCCTCCTCTGTAGCTCATCTCCAAGGAGTAATTTACCATATTATCTTTTTGCAATCTTAAAGTCCTTAAAATGTGCAGAAAGTGTAATAGGCTGATTTTCAAAAGACAGGCCAAGGAAGTAGGAGTGTCAAGCCCTGGGTAATGGTGGTGGAATAAAGGGCTAAGAGAGACAGCAGACTGCACCTGTGTCATTTTTCTCGTGATGGGGAAAGGAAGCAAATGGAGGGTCTCCTCCTCCCAACACCAGACTGCCTGTAACCTGGAGTACTGTATCCTTCCACTCTAATCCCTCACCATGATCTGATTGACCCTGGATGTCCTTGGCCAAAAATATTTCTCATCTTTTTCCAAGCTCCTGACCACTTCCTATCTACCTCCTTGCTTCCAAATTTGCCTGGTCCCACCTCCACCAAGAAACCCAGGAGTATCTCCAAGCCCCAGACTGTTTCACACCCCACCCACCTCCCACCCAGCCCCCCAGCTTCACTTATCAAGAGGTAAACAAGGATGTTTCTGTGGCTGACTCCAGATTGCCCTTGAAGGCATCAACTGTCCAATTTATCATTTTATTCTTCCTTGGCATGGAGTAATGAGTCAATATCAACATTCATTGGATAATTACTGTGTCATTCAGGGTCCTGGCAGGAAACAAATAGCACATTCTAATTGTGTACTTTAATAAAGACCAGGACTATTTGCATCCGGGTAGGGTATGGGAAACCATCAGGCCTCACTCTGCTAGGGTTATACAGTGCCCCAGGCCTAGAAGGGAGAGGGTTACTAGAACTCACAGAGAAAACTGTGGAGAGGGAGGGCACTGACACAGGCCTTGCAGGAAGAGGGCAGCCAGCTTGTAGGGACCCACAAAGGAAAGACTGGGACAGAAGATAAACATTCCAACACTACCATTCTTTCTTCCCATCTCCTGCTAGGGCTTCCCCAATGACTTAGCAGAATCTAATCAGAAGCCAGAGGGCCATGATGTAGCTCCTATAGGTCAGTTTACCAGGACAGAGAGTAGGTCCATGGGAATGCAGGGAAACTCTCACCGAATCTTCCAGTTTTATTTTTTCAGGTACTTTTTGTTCCCAAGTGCTGCAAACATTCCTGTTTAATTTTATACTGCTTCTCTTACTTTGTGACCTCTAATTAGTAATTCTATAACAAAATCATTACTCTTTTCCCTAAAAACATCTAATCATTGTCCCCTTCACACTCAGAGTCAACACCTCACTCTACTTTTTATTTTTTGGCAGTACTAGGGTTTAAACTCAGGAACTCGGGACCTCACACTTTCTAGGCAAGCACTCTATCACTTGAGCTATCCCACCAGCTCTTTTTTTTGTGTTGGGTATTTTCAAGATAGGGTCTCCCAAACTGTTTGCTTGGGCTGGCTTCAAACTACGATCGTCCTGATTGGTCTCTGGAGCAGCTGGGATTACTGGAGCGAGCCACTGGCACCTAGTGCCTCATTCTGGTTTTTTGGTGTTTTTTTTTTTTTTTGGCAGCTTCTCAAAATGTACCCCTTGAAATCATGATCCTCCTGCCTCTGTCTGCCAAATGCTGGGATTACAGAATATACCATTGAACTGGGCCTTGAGTTGGCTTTGCCTCCCAGTAGCAGCAAATGAAAATCTTGGGATTCCAGACCCTGTTTAACAAAACGCCTCAGGAAAGCGAGGCATGGCCAGACAGTGCTAATGGTGCTCGTTTAACCAGAATTACAACTTTAAATCTTAAAGTTGTCCTTTAAGGCCCAAATTTCAATAAAATCTGTTACTTAGAAGAAAAACACTTTAAATATTGTTGTGGTTTAATATTAACAACTTTTTAAAAACAGAGTTGTTCAGGAATAGAAGTTTCTCTTGGGAGGTAGTAAGCAGTTTGTTGCCAAAGTACTTAATCAGACTTGTTCTCTGTCAGCAATGGTGCTATTTTCTTCTTGGTGGTTCCGAGGTTTGAACTCAGGGCTTCATGCTTTCTAGGCAAGCACTTTACCACTTGAGCAATGTCTTCAGTCTTTTTGGCTCTGATTATTTTTGAGATAGGGTCTGGACTGCAATTCTCCTGTTTATGTTTCCCACAGTAGCTGGGATGGCAGGCTTGAACCACCATGCCCAGCTATTGGTTGAGTTGGAGCTCCCAAACATTTTGCCCATGGCTGACCTCAACTCAATCCTCTTGATCTCCACCTCCTGAGTACCTAGGATTATGGGCATGAGCCACCAGTGCACGCAGGGCTGTTTATTATTTATTATTTATTTATTTGCAGTACTGGGTTTTGAACTCAGGATACTCACTTGCTAGGCAGGTGCAAATATTGTTATTTTTTATATGTGCGTGTGTGTGCTGGGGAGAAGTATTGAACAAGATGGCCTTCCTAAAAACCTGTGATGCTAAAAGCATGTACGTGTTGACACAGATCTTTGTTGTCTGTCAGAAATGTAACTGGAGAGCAAGGAGATCAGTAGTGAAAGGGCGGGGGAAATCTGAAATCCGTCCATGGTGAGATGAGGCACTGGCTGCCCTGGCTGCCATCTATTCATCCAACTTTCAGGCAGCAATGGTGTGCTTCTTCTGGCGTACGAGCATACAGTATTCTAAAGCAAAGAAATAATAAGGCAGGAGAAATGAGATGAGATCCTACTTTCCTTGCCTCCTTTCTATTAGACAAGAGATCTGGGGATCAGAAAGTCATTTCAGGGCTGGGGGTAGAGCTCAGTGGTAGAGCATTAAATGGTAGCTTAGCTCGGTGTGATCAAATCAAGGCCCTGGGTTTGAACCCTAGCACTGAAAAAATAAAAGTAGTCCCAAATGACTAAAATAAAGTGACTCACAGCCGACACTGTGATTCATGGTGCAAACCAAGCCCAAGAAATGGTCAAAGGCTCCTTAGTGAACTACTGTTTTAAGAGAACAAAGTCAAGCCCACATAATGGGAAAAATATACTTTCATCATGGGAGGCATATCAAAGACTAGCAAATTGTTATCTCTAGGAATAAGTTGACCCTAGGAGGGGTGACTCTCCAGGTCCACGAGGCCCCAAATGTTTCAATAATACAGAAAATAAGAAAATATATTAATTCAACTTGGAACAATTGTTGACTGAGAAAAGACATTAAAAGCACATTCATGCACTGACTGACTGACAGACTTACTAGAAGGTGAGAGTCTAAGATCAAATTAGAATTAGCAAGAAAAAGAATGCCCTGGAACATTTTTCTTATAATCAAACTTTCCTCACATACACCAAATTTTATAAGTGCACTGGGCTGTTTGGTTGGGACATTATACTATATAAGGAACTGGGCTGTACAATTAATGAGGAGCCAAGAGCCAAAAACAGTGTTCTACCTTTGGAGAATTTTTATTGGAAGCATTCTAGCTGGCTTCATAATAACAGGAATAAATGTTCTAATTATAATCTTCTCTGTCACTGATGCATTTTTTAAAAAGGCATTCACAGGCAGGGTGTCTCAGAAATATATTTCCAGAATTTTGGCTCACAGGCCTTAGGGCTTTATTGAATTATGAACAGATCACGTATGTACAAAAAAGAACTCTAATGTAGACCTCAGAGGCTTTCTTAAAGGTCAGATATTTGGCTAAATTTTACCTGCAAATAACTTAGACAGATTTCACTGAGTCTTTGGAAGGCTTGATTTTAATTTCTATTACCAGGTAAAACTCTTTGTAAAGAGAAAAATCAAATGGTTTAAGCCCAAATTTTACTTTTGTTCCAAAATAAGTTAACTCGGCTTCTGTAATGTATATATTCTGTCTAAGCCTAGATCCTTGAGATTCAGACAACAGGAAGCAGTATGGAATAAGGGACTTGAATTTGCTGTTCACTAACTGTGAAGTCAGACAATTCACAGGGATCAAAAATTGGGCTGCAGTTTGCCACTCTGTGACAGGACAGTTTTGAACTTGTTTAGGGTTCTTAACCAGTATATATAGACAGAATATAGATGGGGGAATGGTACCTTTATTGTCATTAACACCTAGATGAAATTTAGCTATTTCTTTAACTATGAGTG